GTAGGTGCAACAAAACAAATAATGTAGGTAGTCGGAATGATACATGTGCAATAGGTTGTCTATGTGCACAGTAGCCGGGATACGTCAGCTGTAGAGAGTCAACACTCTTCGATGAGACGCCGCGCTGGCTGGCCACGATTGTGACGAATTGGTCGATCTGGCTCGGCTGCATTTGGCTGGGCATTACACACAGGGCCATCAGTGTCGACCGGTGGTGCTGATGGTTGCTGGATCAAATGGTGCCGATTCCTTCGAAGCGTTGCTCCCGAAGACCCGATGCGTACACGATACGAGCGGTCACTGAGCTGTTCCAGCACAGTGCCTTCCGCACCAGTGTCAGCTAGCCAAACCTTGTCTCCTGGTTGCAACACAGGGAGGGGGAGTGTTGCATGCCTCCGATCAAAGTCTGCTTTCTGACGGTCTTGTTGAGTTGCTTCTTTCTCAGCGACGGCGGTCAGATCAGGCCATTCCGGTTTTAGCTGCTCTGCAGTGACTGGCAGTGTTGTCCGGAGGCGGCGACCGAATAGAAGCTGAGCTGGTGCGAACCCGTTTGCTAATGGCGTAGCACGGTAAGCGAGGAGTGCGTCTGCTAAGCTGGTATTCTTCTCCAGAAGACCCTTGGCGGTGCGTACAGCTCGTTCCGCTTCGCCGTTAGATTGCGGGTACTGCGGGCTTGACGTTCGGTGTGTGAAACCATACGATGTGGCAAAACTTCGAAATTCGGCACTGCCGAATTGCGGCCCGTTGTCGGAGACCACTGTGTCTGGAATCCCGTGAACGGCAAATAGACTGTGCAAGTGTGCGATGACACGAGCAGATGTGGTGGACGTCATGGGGATTACGTCTAGGTAGCGAGATAGGTAGTCAACGACGACAAGGTACGACTTTCCTCTGTGCTCCATGAGGTCACAGCCAATCGTGCTCCAGGGCAGAGCTGGGCGTGGAACCGGCTTGAGGGGCTCCCGGTGCTGTGTGCGGTGTTTCGTGCAGGTGGGGCACGTGGCAACCATGTTCTCAATCTGCTTGCTGAGGCCAGACCACCAGATGGAATCTTTGGCGCGTGCCTTGCATTTGGACACTCCCAGATGCCCGTCATGCAGGGAAGCGAGAACAGCGGAGCGCATGCTGGGTGGAATGACGATACGTGGGCCATGGTAGACCACTCCGTCCACACACGACAACAACTGACGTTCGTGGTAGTACGACTGTATGTCCTGCTCGAGACCTTTCGCTGAGCTAGGCCATCCGGTGCGGATGTACTGCAGGACACGGTTCAGGACTGGGTCGGCAGCAGTGGCAGAGGCAATCTCCCGGGACTTTCCGGATGACACGATGGATTGAATGGAAGCCGCAACGTTGATCGTAATCTCGGCATCGAGTGACGGTGTCTCCGTGCATGGCTCAGGTGATCGTGACAGAGCATCCGCCACAACGAGGTTCTTCCCTGGTATGTGGACTGCTGTGGGGTTGTATGCCATCAGTCTCATCAGCAGACGTTGGCAGCGGAGTGGAACTCTGTTGAGGTCACGGGTATTAATCAACGGAATCAACGGCTTGTGGTCCGTATGCACGACGAGAGATGGACACCCGTATACGAAGCTGTGGAAACGCTCACATGCCCACACGACTGCCAGACATTCTTTCTCTATCTGGGCGTACTCGCGTTCGGTATCGGTGAGAGAACGAGATGCATAGGCAACTGCTCGGTAGTCTGTACCGTGTTGCTGAAGCAGAACTGCGCCAAGGCCATAGCTGCTTGCGTCGGCACTGACAACTGTTGGGCGGCTTGGGTCATAGAACGCCAGACACGGGGCCTCTGTGGCCAACTGCTTCAGACGATTGAATGCTTCCTGCTGTGGCTCGGCCCAATTCCAGACAGTGTCGTCGCGAAGTAAGGTCCGCAGAGGAGAGCTCACCTCGGAAAGGTTGGGTATGAAACGGGCCAGGAAATTGAACATTCCAAGCAGGCGTCTCAGGTCAGAGACATCTTTGGGTGGCTTTAGGCTGGTGATAGCTGAGATCTTGGCAGGGTTCGGCAATACTCCCTTGTTGGTGATCAGGTGACCCAGGAACTTCACTTGGCTCTGTCTGAACCGGCACTTCTCCTTGTTGAGCGTAATGTGTGCGGCATCCAGAACCCGCATGACTTCTGCCAAGTGACGGTCATGTTCCTCCATTGTGCGGCCGTAGACGATGATGTCATCCATGTACACTGACACGCCGGGGAGACCATCCAGGAGACCGGAGACTCGGGCCTGGAAAATCTCGGGCGCTGATGTTATGCCGAATGGCAACCGGTTGAAGTGGTACCTTCCAAAAGGCGTAATGAACGTCGTTAGCTTGGCAGAGTCCGACGACAGTGGAATCTGCCAAAACCCATTGGCTGTGTCAAGAGTGGTAAATACGGTCGAGTTCGACAGCGTGGCCAATGTGTCCTCAATGGTCGGTAGCTGGAACGCTTCCCGCTTCACGGATGCATTTAGCCGTTTCAGGTCGACGCATATCCGAACCTTTCCATTCGGCTTCAGTACCGGAACCATTGGCGAGCACCATTCTGTGGGCTCCTTGACTTTTGTTATGATGCCACCATCCTCCATTCTCGCGAGCTCTTCGCGCACCTTACCAAAAAGGTGGTGTGGGACTCGTCGGGCTGTCACACAACGGTATGGCGTCGCATCGGACTGCAGGTGGATATGTGCAGGCGGTCCCTCCATGCATCCGACCAGCGGCTTTCCAGATGGAGGTTGGACCTGAGCACGGGTGGCACTCACGCGCTTGACAAGTCCAAGTTCATCACATGCAGAGCGGCTGAGTAGGCAACCACTTGCACGCTCCAACACGTACATTCGAACATCGGTGGCCTTGCCCTTGTACTTCAGGCTAGCTGAAAAAACGCCACACACAGGTAGAAGCTGGTCATCGGCACCACGCAATTGTACCTTTGTTGATTGGAGTGTGGGTTGTGGACTAATGCTGAGCCATACAGTCTTGGACATCGTTGACACATCCGCCCCTGTGTCCAGCTTGAAGCGTACCATCGTTGTGCCAACTTGCAACTCTGCAAACCAAGGCGAGGTGTCTGAGTTGTCCGCAGCGGTAGTGCCAACAAAAAACTGCTCTGGGTCGTCAGATTCGTCCGGTGCAAAGCCAACTGAGTTCATGCCGACGGCAGACGATTGACGGGTCGCCCTGCAAACTTTCGCAAAATGGTTTTTCTTTCCACACGACCGGCACGACTTGCCTCGAGCTGGACATCGATCTCTTGGATGCGTCCTACCGCCGCAGTTGGGGCAGCACGATGAGGATGGAGCAGCATGCGTTTCTTGTTCGCGATGCCATTGCCTGCTGTCGGGTCGTTTCTTTTGGTGTACACCAGCAGCTGCGAGTCCACCAGGTCCAACAGAGGATGCACCACGACTATCTGACGACTGCTCTGCAACCTGCTGTGCAACACGCTCTGCCTGTCGTGCAAACTCGAGAGACTTGGCAAGTGTTTGCTCCGAGGGGGCTTTCATCTGCAATTCTCGGCTGACACGTTTGTCACGCATGTGTGCGATCAGTCGATCTCGAATCCGGTTGTCTGTTTCTGCTTGAAACGCACAATGCTCCGCACCTTTATACAAGGCACGCACAAACTCGTCAAGACTCTGGCCGGGCTGCTGGATAATTTGCTCGAACTTGGAGCGTTCGTGAACTATGTTGACGGATGGGGTGAAGTACGTGTCGAACGCCTTCAAAACTTCATCAAAATCCTTCTTCTGGTCGTCCGATAGTCCAAGCTGGTGCTCAAACACCTGATCAGCGTCCATGCCCATGGTGTACACTAGAGTAGCTACCTGTACCTCATCCGAGGACTCGTCTAGTTTGCTGGCGATTCGAAACCGATTGAATCGCAGCTTCCACGCAGTCCATTGCCCAGGATGGGTAAAGTCGAACGCAGAAGGTGGGGAAAAACGCAAAGCCGCCATGAGGACTTATCGTCTGCCACTTCTGACACCATGTAGTGACTACACAGTCACCAGCACACTCAGTCCATTACCACTCGGATGTCTCGTTTAGACAAAGAACCCTGAAACTAAAGATGAACAGCAAGATATCCATGCATGCCAGAGAGGCAAGGTGACCAAGCCATTACGGGCACCAAGTAGGCCCAGTTAGGGTCACCAGGTCATGCACTCTGGATGTGCGGGTAACCCCATACGGGTAATGTGTATACTAAATAAGGTGAGTGCATAAAGCATCACTACATTAGTGTTTGAAAAAATTATCTTATTCAACTCTCGATATCTACTAAGACCTAGCAAGGAAGAATTGGTCACATACTTTTTGCTATTCTCATGCCACACCCATTTTGAGTTGAAAAATATGACCAAAGTCCTGTATATAGGATTTAGCAAATTAAGAGATAGGCCAGCCAATAAAGGGTTAAGGTCCTCGATCTTCACCTCGCAGCCGTGTAGCTATCCTGACACTACAAAAAAGCATTAGCTTTTTGTAACTATTTCGAGATTTTACAACAAATCCCTCACTCTTGCCAGATGGTTCGACCATGATTGCTTCGTTCTTGCAGATAACGGAGGCGGCCTCCTTCTCCTTTCTTGTCCGTTGATGTCCAATGTTGGTAATGCATGCACGGAAGTTGGGGCGAGTTTTTTGCGCATGCACAGCACCAGGACATGAACCAGAGTGTGCAACCCCACATCTATGCTCCGAGCCACCATGACCTAAGCCAAAACTTGCCGAGGGCTCATTCTCCTTGAGTGAACTTAGAGTAGGCAGCATTTCAATTTTCTGAGTGTAGGGCATGGCAGTGGTATAGCTGCTCTCTCCCTCCCGCCCTCCCCTCTCTCTCTCTCTCTCTCTCTCTCTCTCTCTCTCTCTCTCTCTCTCTCTCTCTCTCTCTCTCTCTCTCTCTCTCTCTCTCTCTCTCCCTCCCGCCCTCCCCTCTCTCTCTCCAGCGGAGAATGCAAGTGGATGGGTCAATCAGAGGGAAAACGTACGATAGCTGAGCGAGACGTTTCGGAGGGTATGAGCTCTTCATCAATGCTGCTTGACAGTCTTGGCAGCAAAGCCAGCTGTAGAGAAACAAACCACATTACGGGTCAGACGGCACAGTTAGCATGCAAGTATACTGAAGTACACCTATTCGTTTTTGGTCAACAAACTAATTGCCTCGGGCACCTGGTCCCTCTTGACCGCATGCTATGCATCGGCATAAACATACAGTGGAACATACCAGGTCGGCCATGGTAATACATAATTATAATTATGTGCTTCCAGTCAGCCAGCTGTTTCTGGTTTTCGCCGAAACAATCGCATACAAGGTAGGCAACCGCCACCCCTTTACCCATCTCGGAATTAGGTTTCGGGAGAAGAAGACACTTGCTTCCTTCGGGGGTAATGTAATTTCACGTGGCTTTGTGCAAAAATCCATTCTATGTGTACTGCACTGAGCTATGTTGTACACAGAATAGTCTAAACTGTCACTTATATCCAAAACGACAAGCCGCTACAGGACAACTGGTAGACTGGGCTGGAGCGATACCGCAACAAATTTCATGGATGGCTCCTTCTGCACTTTGACATGAGTCGAGTGGAATTCCTCTCCATCACGACGATCCTGGAAAATCTCGGAGTCCTTGACAAATGGAATCTTCGCTTGCGCTCGCTTGGTGAGCAGGCCCTCCCGGACGGCTTGGAAAGAATTTTCATCGCTCGCAATTTCTACGTACCATTGTCTAGAATGAAAGAGTATCGAGAAGCTGATCTGCCATACTGGCTAGAGGATGTTCGCCAGAATAGTCATCAATTGACTCGCCTGAGTGCTTTCTATTCTTGTCAAAGATTCGAAAAGGTACAAGCGCGGAAACGCGAAACATAGAAATAACTTGGTGTGGCCTTACAGGACACCCATTTCCTCACCTTTTTGCCTTCTCTTCTGAACATGGCCTGGACAAGAACACAGAAGAGGTGAAGCACTTGGAACATTGCTGCATGCAGTTAAGGCAATGTGTGCTGCATGCATATCAGATATGTACTCTTGATATCAGATATGTACTCTTGATCGAACCAAGAGTACCGGTACATAAACCCCCAAGAGTGTACAACTCCTGCATACCCTGTTGTCCCGGCAGAATTTCAAGTTGACGTCATTTTTATGATGCAACGCTCCTTGCACCAGTGATTTATGACATTAATTTTGTGTTAACGCATCACTTGTGTTTCCTTGGACTAGTTTGCACAGCAGGATCAAAAGGAGCTTTGCCCACCGCAGGTCCAGGAGATGTGTACAAGTATAATAAACATTGAATCATAAAATGACGTGAACTTGAAATTCTGTCAGGATAGCACCCATAGTGGAGTTGCACACTGTTGGGGTGTGTGTGTGTACTTCAAAGTACTCTTGATCCAACCAATCAACCCAAGACAGTTTTCTGGGCAATTGAACCATACCAAGAGTGGGAAACAGCACCAGCAAAGCAGTCTCTGTGGTGAGGAACCTCGTGTCAAATAAGGGAGCACCTCATAAGTTCGCACTTTTTTGTAAAAGTAACGCATTTCGAATAGACTTTACCCCCTACCTCCCCCCAGTATTAGAAAGTCTTATCGCACATTTTCAGTGTTGTACTACTGTATATGTCCATGCCCATGCCCATGCACGCCATGGTATGCACATGTACATGTACATCATGTGCATGGAATGTTTTGCTAGTGTCGAAGTGAACGGCATACGGTAATACCGCATCTACTGAGTACAAGTACAATCAATGACATGTAGACGCACATAAACAGAGTTCCTCCACAACGACTAGTGGGCTGTACTGTGAAAGCTGGCAAGGTACACGGTTTGATAATGCTGGTGTGACATTTGAGTAGCCTGCATGATTGATCGCTTGCATGCAGTGCAGGGTTTAGCTGATCTGCAAACACAGGTAGATCTACATTACTAGTACACCTAAACACACCCTGCTCAACTACATGATTGTAGTACTGTCCAGTATATATAGCACATGCACAGCACACATCCAGAATATGTGCCAACTGTCATTTGTCTATTCGAAAAGGGCGCTACCACCTACCCCCGTATGCGTTACGTTTAGAAAAAAATGCGAACTTATGAGATGCTCCCTAATGAGCGCAAAGCGTGAGTGAATGTGTGGGTGTGCGCATATTTGTGTGTGTGTGTGGTGTGTGTGTGTGGGGGGGGGGGGGGGTTCAAAACAAACAGGTTGCATTTAAAAGGGTGCAGGCACTCACGGGACGACTGTCATCTGGTGAGGAATCAACACTTGTTGAGTCGCAACTGTCCATGCTCAAGCCCTTGAGTTATCAGACGAAGAACAGTAGATCAAACAACAGATGAACATACTGAATACGGATTTGCATGTCAACCTTATATTATTATTATTATTATTATTATTATTATTATACGCTTGTCCGCGTTGACATCACCAAGCAAGCTTGGCTAGTCGTCGTGTGCTCGACCCGGTTGGAAATGTACGTAACAGTTCACACCCTCTTGACGAGGGATCTCACAAACCCTGGGTTTTGATACGTCTGTACGACTCTCTGCTCTTGACCTTTGGCCGGTGTACGAGACGCACGCACAGTTTTCGTAGGGTGAGTACTTTTTAATGCAGTACCGAATGCGGCAAGTAGGACTCGCCCAACCGCCCCTCCCCACGTGGACCTACTCGAAGGGTGCCGAGGTAGGGGCGCTCTGGCGGGGTTTCACATGTACCCACAAGCCTAAAGCTTGATTTATCCCTTAATCTGTCACAAGCAAAGCCTATAATGTAGGATTTGGTTTCTGGCTAAAATTATGTTGATGAGTAACCTATACAAATTGATGAAATGAGTTTCATTAGATGCTTTCCAAACACTTCCGTAAGAATTGCTAGCTGGTCAGCCAATTTCCAGCCTGAGGGCCTACCGTACTCATTCGATTAGAAGCGGGGGGCTTCTATTTTTTCAATACCAATTTTGAGGAGGCTTCTATTCAAGAGGGGCTTTTATTGTTTCATTCCATAACAGTATTCCAATCGAATCTCTAAAACTTTCATATTCACAGCAACTCAGCCCCGAGTTAGTTTGCACACACTACGACGACCAAGACATGTACCAATATGAACATGCACGAGATGTTTTTAGCACACTTGACCTTCATACATGGCACTACCTGGTCACCCCATGCTTTGCGAACAGTAGTCCGGGCTTCTATTCGAGAGGGGATTGTATTTTTTCAAACAGTCCTTGTGGGGGGGGGGGGGGCTATTGTTCAAGAGGGGCTTTTATTCGAGAGGGGCTTCTAATCAAGTGAGTACGGTATATTGGGTAGTTTGGTGGTTTGTGTGCAGAGAGAATTGGTGTGGTATGATAGAATATTTTCTTCTGGTAACTCAGCACCACTGAGGACTACTAAAAGTAGAATAGAAACAAATGAAATGCTGGGCTCTTCTTGCGAGCTTCATTCTCATTCATAGCTTGGGGAGCTACGTTCCTTTAGGGGCTTCGAGAGGCCCTTTTCGATACCCACAATGACTTTGATCTTCGGTTTTATAGGGTTCCGCCAGCTGTTGACAAAGGAAAATCGTACAGATTAAAGAGTACGGGAGGCAGAAACTGTACACACTTCTGAAATGCGTAGCTTTTAAGTAGTACACCGTACATTTCATGCAGAGTTCATTATCTGCACCATACTATAATCAAGAGCCCCCCCCCCCCCCCCAGAGTGTGCAACACCTGATCCAGCTCTGCATAGGGTCCTGGTCGAGCGTAATCGGATCTCTGATGTCATGCGTGCACTCCACACCAGCGTAAGGCCGGTCTCGAGGCAGGGCACCGTTGTTTTTGATCATAGAGTACCCACGACTCCCCGGGTTCCCCTCAGGTGTGTACGGTATTATGACGCAAAGATCCGATTACGCTCGGCCAAGACCCTATGCAGAGCTGGATCAGGCGTTGCTCGCTCTGGGGGGTTATGTACTCTTGCTATAATGCGTACAGGAAGTTGTACGCACCTGTTTAGAGTATATTCAGCGGGCTTTAAACTAATCCAAGGCCCTCGACGTGCCATCAAGAGCAGTAAATTACAATTGAGCGGGCTTTAAACTTTGAAAGGCCCTTGGCGGGAATGTCGCTGATTGGTCATTTCCTGGACAACGAGACAGACCTCGTTCTAATACTGTTTAAAGCACTGGATATGCTAAGCTGTGGCGACACTCTTCAATCAATCAATCACAGACATCATTAATTTTTGTACTTATTCAGCATACAGCAATTGTATTTCTTTCCCTGCCAGTTATATCATCATCGGCATCCATTACAACACTCTGAGTAATGCAGAACACTCGAATCCTAGATACAGGATCTGCCAAAACACTGACATGTCCTCACTAAAACATCTCTATGGGTCAAGGGGAAATACTGGGACTCTTGAAAACTTTTGAAGAGAGCCAACTGATGCTGCTCCAAACTCATAACATGTACAGGGCAATTTAGGCACACAACTCATCCCAGGCAGTAGTATGACCAGAGTGTTGAAAAAAATCTTATATTAAATATACTAGTACCGTATTTCCCCGATTATAAGACGCACTTGATTATGTCACAACCCATTTTCAGGTCTGAGCCAATTATTTCAATACATTCACATAAGTAGGAAGTCCCACTGGATTTTAAGTCGCACACCCCTCTTTGCACACCCCTCTTTGCACACCCCTCTTTGCACACCCCTCTTTGCACACCCCTCTTTGCTCTTGAAGTTTAGTGTAAAAAAGGTGCGACTTACATTCGGGGAAATACGGTAGGATTTGACAGATTGAGATACAATTACTTCATTTCGCGCACGGGAAATACATAGCGCAACAGCCGTGCAGTGGGCCACACAAATCGAAGTCAACTTTTTCGCGATGACGCGTTTCCCGTACGCCAAGCAAAGTACAAAGCGGTCTTCTAGTGCCATAGGAAAGGTTAAATGTCAGTTTAGAGCTCCCGTAGCTCGATGAGAGGAGCTGCACACTCTTGGAGGTTACGGAGTCAAACAGGCAAGTCGATGTGTAGCCACTCTGTCTCCTTTTCACGTTTCCTTTCTACACCAGTGTACACGAATATGCACCGACCCGTCGCAAAAGTTCGTCATTCATGAACAAACACCGCTCATTGGGGGGGGGGGGGGGGGGAGCCAAAATCGCAAGTCGACCAACACTGTACAGGCATGCAATGGTGCTGTGCGAGCGTGCATACTACTGAATGGCAGATCTGTGTCGTCCTGCACAACAACCTGTGTTCATTTCGGAAGGTGTGTGCGTTTGTGGGGGGGGGGGGGGGGGGGGGAAGAGAAGGGATCAGCATATGAAATGAATAATCTGTCCCCCTTGGAAAATCGCGATTCCACAGCCGCAACAAATTCCATGAATCTAGCATCATCCGTGAAAACATTGCAATTTTATTCATTTTTCATTGGTTGTCAGTGGATCTTTGAGCCTGCCCGGTAGGCTGTATACTGGTACCGTGCCTGTGTTCTGTGCGCTTACGTAACATTGTATGCGAAGCTAACCACACAAGCTGTCCCCACAGGATAATGCGATTCCGCGGACGCGCAGTTTTCCGCGTTAGTGGCTTTCATCTGCGTTTTTGAGAATTTTGCATAAACCCGTGCAATCCATGGGAATGTACAAGAAAATAGTATGCAATGGCAAAAATGTACAACACTGCACCTTCCCATGAGTTTGCACGACAAAGGTGTATAGAGCTTTTCTAAGGACGGACCAACAGTCACTTTTTTGGGATCAGCTGCAAGAATTTTTTTAATCGCTGGTGAACAGGTGAAGCGCAGTTCACGTTCATTTTGTGTGGGAATGGATGCGTGGAGGTGAAAGAAGCACTAGGATGGTGCTCAACTTTATATCCGACACTCGTGTTGAGTCAGAGCAGTTGCCAGGAAGCCCTTCCATGGCTTGGGCAAAAAAGAACAAGCTTCAGAATCGCTCCATGCGCTGGTGGAGACGGACCTGTCGCATTTCGTATACATTTCAATGTGCGACCTGTTCACCACGATCTCAGGGTGAGCGCCGCTGGTGGGCACGGTGTCGCGTCCTTGAAAAAGCTCTATATGCACGAGAATGTACGCTTTTAAAAGTTGTACCAGTGATTACACGCTTAATCTGAGGATTGTGTCGGCATTATTCTGTGGCACGGTAGGTGGATCTCAGGCACAATCGAAAATACCATGCCCTTGAACTGTCTGTTTTCTCCAGGACTGAACTTTGATACTGCAGTTTCCGCAAATTTACTAGTACTGTACTTGGCCCATGTTTGCCTACTTTTCTCTGCAACTTCTTGCGCACATTTCCATGGGGACAGAACAATGTCTGTTTCTGGGACGATAAAATAAAATTTTGCAACCACCCTAAGCATACAGCTAACGATGATGTCATTATTGATTTTGTTGTTGATAGATGCAGGTATGTTTGAGTGTGTATCACATTCTCCACAAGATGATGCCAGTCATTATTATCAATGATCAAGCTCATGTTGTAATCAGTACTCAACCTCGTGGACTACTCATTTGATCAATTCAGTCGAATTTTCGATCGACGACGAGACCATGCGCGTGACAAGCGAAGCCAGAAAAAAACATAAAATGCCACGCGACATCAGTGAAAGGATAATTGGCCTGCCAGCATGCATCACTGCAACTGTACCTCCAATGATGTCTGAGAACAGGGCGATGGTATGCCTGGCTCAGGGCCCCACGCAATGAAGGAGAGATCCATCTGATGCAAGAAACAAAACACCATCCACAAAACCCATATACGTACCAGCCGACCATAAAATCACACACTGAAAGGTCACCGCACTTTTTTTCGGGCGTCGGCCCTCTTTTCAATTTGGCTCGAAGAGTCCATAACTGCGTGCGGGTTGAGCTTCAGCTAACAACAATAATTATTATACAAGAGGCGTTTCGAGGAATTTCTCTCTTCCTACTATTATCAGGTAGACGACGCCAGCTGACCAACTGGACAGCAGAGGCATGAAGCGCCGACTGGTGATCTCCTTCTTCTGGTGTGAAAAAGTATGAACGACCGGAAATTCCTCTGACTTTTTATGGGTCTTGCCTAAAAAATTATGTGCCATGCACCCGCTCGAACCGGAGTAGTACAGCTGCCAAATTATGTCAAACTCCGTAGCTGTAGCTCATTTAGTTACGTGATCATTCTATATTTGTCCCGATATATCTGTTGGACACTTTTACCAAAAACATTACCATGATTACCACATGTACAGCTCCTTGAGAAGCCCATGACGGCCCATTGACGGGCCATGTTCCTGCCATGCGCCAGGCTACAAAAGGATATGAGCACTGGGTACGCATACGTACTTCCATATAAGTGGACATTTTGAGCAGGTCAGACCTGCAAGGCCTTTACTTGGAAGAAGCTCGAAGAACCGTCTGAATTTTCAAATTCTGACTGCACAATGCTGGGAAAGTACAATCAGCATAACCTCCCTGGGGGGTTATGGACTTTTGGTACTAGACTATTGTACAAACAGTCATACTTTCTTTTTGGCTTACAAGTACTCGTGTAGGACAGGGCCAAGGCCCAGGGGGCAACGTCCTAGGCTGATTATGGATGTGGATTCATCCTCAGCCATGCGCCAGGGTATTAATTCAGAGTACAATGTAGTCCTGTTGTAGCCAGTTTAGTTGCCATCGTCTGCAGTCTTGTACTGTAGCCAGTGCAGTGGCTTCATGGTCATGGTCGTGCCGCAGACAAATGTAAGCTTGCTGCTCCTGCTGCTATGCAATTCCAGCACACCACAGAATGCTACAATCACGTGATGCATTGTGGATGCATGTATATATTCATTGTATTGTGTGCTAAGTAGGAAACAGCAGTCACGTGTTGGCTATCACCTGCCTGAGATCCCCAGCCCAGACGACAATGGATGGTGTGCATTCGACCAAGGTAAGTCTTTCCTCATTCACAGAACTTGGTCTGATGTCCATGAAATTCCAGTGAGACAATCAACATAGCAACCAACATCCTCTGCACGTACTTCTCCGGTTACAATAGGGTTTTAAAACCTGCAACAAAGCACCCCCACCCCCCCCCCCCCCCCCCCCGCTCAATACTCGTGTTTCGGGGAATTTACCCATCATGCGCCGTTGAACTTGAAGTAGGCAAATGAAATTTGTGCTCTGAGAGCCCTGCATTACATGTATAAGAAGAGTACATAACCCCCAAGAGTGTGCAAGTCCAGCTAGGGGGTCTGCGGCAGCAGAATTTCACATCGCACGACAAACCCGTACACATTATTTGCACCCTTTGCATGATATACAGGGCCAAACACAACCCTGCTTTGGGTTCACCTCTCTCATGGTGTGACTTTGCACTGTTTGCCAGTGTAACCTTTTGAACCATGTCCCATGATGTGAACCCGCCACAGCACTACAATATAGTGCAACTGCCTGCATAACCTCTATATTATAGAGGTTATGCAGGCAGTTGCACACTCTCGGAATGCACTTGAATCAAGCCTTGATTACAGTCATGCTGCTCCCTCGAGCCAAACATCTCGTGAGCAGCAGGAAGCAGCCTGAGTCAGTGCCGCACCCGGAGCGGTGATGTATTGTTACCCCCCCCCCCCCCCCCCCGCACTGGCGTATGGCTACTACATTGACTTGTAGATGATTGTGGCAGCATTGTGCGAGTGCCAACGACCCAGATTGCTGCACGGCATTGAAACCTGGCATTCAGCAGCTACAGTGTAGGCTCTACCTGCCTATCAGATTTCGGGTGCGGCAGTTGACGCTTCTGGGTTATCGGCATTATAGTGTGGCTGTGAAGATCATTCTATAATGAGAATGGAAATCTAATTCCAGTTTCATCTTGGGCTGATACACTCCATCAGGTCATACACTGGGTACCCCCTCCCATACAGTATGTTGTCCTGGAACTGGTTCTGGCCCGGCGGAACTAGTCCGGTTGGTCTGGCCATAAGTAATTAGTTGGGTACCCCCTCCCATACAGTAGGGAGGTTTAGTTCCCACGTAACGGAAACGCGTACGTGGGTGATCCACGTAAGGGGTCGTCGCAAAAGTTTTCTGTCGTCCCTGAAACGAACATCGTTCGTTTCGTACTTGGACCCCCTCCCCTCCCTCTGAAACGAACACAGCTTGCTATGCTGGACGACGAAAATCGCAGGCATGTACATGTCATATGTACAGTGTCCGTCGACTTGCGATTTTGGCTCGCACCCCCTCCCCAAATGAATCATGTTCGTTTCAGAGACGACAAAAAACTTTTGCGACGACCCCTAAAGTGGATGAAGGGCACCCACGTTGCAATGTTGTGTTTAGTCACACGGAACAAACAAAAGCATGAAGCGAAAGGCCCAAACCTGGTCAAAGACGAAGCTACCCGGGCCTAAGAAGCTCATCCAATATTTTGATTTCGTGCTTCGGAAACTTCTTCGGCTGAGCACCCTCACAGCTCTCACAATGCGCTCCATTTTGATTTTCACCCACGTTCTGGCGGAACGTGGATGAGCCTCCATACACGGTATGTCGTGAATCAGAAAACGTCTGTACGTGGGTCACTGAGTATCACGTGGTACACACACGTAAAGTACCAACGGATTACGTGGGACTAAACCTCCCTAGTATGTTGTCCTGGAACTGGTTCTGGCCCGGTGGAACTAGTCCAGTTGGTCTGGCCATAAGTTGGGCACCCCCTCCCATACAGTATGTTGTCCTGGAACTGGTTCTGGCCATGGTCGGACCAACCTTTTGGAAACCAGTGTGTGTTTACTGCTGGTTGGGTCATGCATACCCACTACTAGGTCCTACAAAGTATGAAAGGCTAGGAGGGTATCGCCGGACCAATCAAAAACTGCTTCCTCCGGTCCTGCGGTTACAGTCAGCAGACCTGCTTTTTTTTCTTTTAGTGCAAAGCCAACTTCTGCGGCACTTGGAAGTCCATGTGCAAAAAGTGTGAATCCCTTGGTACATGTATGTGGCTGCTATGGTAATGTGCAATGCCAATGATGCATAACAGATGCTTACAGAGAAACTAGGAGGTTTCATTTTTGGCTCTTATTTGATATGCACGCTGCACAACAGACAAATCTCTCTGGACAGAAAATGCTTGAAGTAGAAAATATATAAATATTTCAAGTAAATTCTACCAGGACGTGGGCAGAGAACGAAAACAAAACACTCATCTGGAGTAAAGCTAAAATAGATACAAGTGGATAAAAAAAAAGGAGAGCAGTGAAAGCAAACGAAACAGGCTTGTGAAAGCACCAACAATGGGTAGACTGTAGATCTGCAACTCACAACCTGTGTCAAATTCGAAAACGTACTCACGGAGCGGGTAAATCGTCTAAATTTACAATAAACCTCTAAAATAAACATGCACCAGGGGCTAAGAGAGCTTGAGCCGTAAGAAACCTATCCGGGAAATTCTGAAACAAGGTAGCATCAAGAGGCCGGATCAGAATGGTAAATGGTTAAATAAACAACGGAAAACAAACTACTCAAATCGCTGAACACCACGCCACGCAGTACAGCGCTTCAAGTAATGGACAGCTGGCCAAAACCATACAGCGCCTTCTCATCCACGGCATGACTTGACTTGTAGTAGGGCTGCAAACAAGGTAAACAGCAGAAGCAGCAGCAACAACAACACATTGTACTGGCGTTGAATGGGTAAAGCGGGATTCACAGAAGGATTTTTGCGATGCGATACACGATGCGACAGCTGGGAAACCGGGAAGTTGGCTTCCAAGTTTTACGACTGATAGCATAAAGCCAGCATTGTCTCCTCTGCGGATCGCGGGACTCAGCAGGAATACGATAGAAACTCAGACCAAACCCCACATAGTAACAATTAGTACACCCAACAGCACAGCAGCTTTTCGGCATATTGACTTCGACTGCGAGAGTGAAAACAGGAAAGAACGGAAATGCAGCAACCATCACAATCTAGAAGATGGAGACAACTAGCTGTTCGGAGATTGTTAAGCCAAGAGTTCAGAGCTCATCAAGTTCCTAACCCCCAGGGGTTAGGAACTCCATGAACTCGAGAAAGAAAGAGCGCTTCTCTTCACTACTACTTCGAAGTAGTACTGAGTACTATAATAGTCTACTACTCGTTTAGCTTTTTGCCACTAGGTCATGTAAGTCCCCTTGGCGCCTGGCCCATGACGTCACATGCATAACCTCTATATCGGTAGGATGTGTTTGATGAGATTCTAGCCTGCTCGGTCAATAGCGCCACGGCTGTCTAAAGCCACTGTCTATGTCTGCATGACTCACCAGTGCGAAGACGAGTTTCTTGGACTCCGGTGGATGGATGGACATTTGTTGGATACTTTCTGCCACTGAACACATGGATGCAACCATAGAAATCACAAAACATGGTTGAGTGTGGTGAACCGCGGCTGTGGATACACCATCGCAGCAACAATCAAGTGCACAGCCCAATGCTCGTGTTTTTACCTCCATCGTGACCATGATAACGTATCTACACTTGAAATGACACCAAGATGATCCTACTGTGCGTGTGGCCATGACAGCCAGGATAGTAAAAACAGTATCTTACTAACCTCGTGGTGTTAGAACCGCGATGCCCTTTGTCCCAGGTTCACCATGTAGTACTAGTAGCGAAGGCAGGGTTACAATGACCCCCCCCCCCCCATCACATACACACATGCACAACTTCCGGCAATTTCACATTTGAAAACGGCTTTGTGAGATGAGTACGCGATCTAACACATTCTATGAGCAGAGACAGTACCATACTATACCATAATAGTCCACAGCACAAAACGAGTGTGCAAAGGTTCTTTCCAATCACTATCAAGCGGCCAATGAATAGTAATGATTGAGCAAAGAATAAACTTATAGCTCTCACCTGCACCATGGTTTTCTTTGTGCAGGAGTCCGGCGGTGACGAGTTCTGACGCAATACCATCCGCCGTATCTGCGGTTGTAGTTGCAGGCAAACAACATGCTGTTAAAGTGAGAATGCACCTGTACCTGAGCTGCTGGTGCCCTATCGGCATGCTGCTGGTGCCCTATTGGAATGCTGCTGGTGCCCAATTGGAATGCTGCTGGCACCTTGCAGCTCATGCCATGCAGTACAGTTCTGCAAGCAGAACTAAAAGTATGGCTAGCATGCAGGAATGTGTGGTGACCGACAGGGCGGAAACCTGAGCTTGCCAAGCCGCATTACACGGAATTTTTCAAATACGGATAGCACTGAATCAGCACTGAATCATCTACAAGACTGAGTAGACTATCTTTTCTCACTGATCCATCTTCCCTGACATTCTTCTATGCGAAGTGGGCACCACCACCACCAACAAACCTACATCCACCTGGCATTAAACCAAATTTCTCACCAACTTTTCAACATACGATATGAGTCCAGTGTAGGCTACATCTCAGAATTCTCAGATTGGTGGAAATATGCAGCATTAGGTGAGACCAAAATAGAATCGAGATTCCCGGGCAGGACCCATGTGAAATTGGTGCGGGCGGGCGAATTTTATTTTTTTATGTTTTCCCTGTGTATGTACATGACTACAGTCCATTTCAAAACTATAGACGCGTAGTGTTTTGCAAAATTCGATGGGATTTATTTAAATATTTTTAGTTTTTTCTCCAGATTCCGTCTCTGCATCGCTTCACAATTCTGGCTATATACTTTGTTTTCGCTACAATTGAAGTTTATTTTTAGGCCAGGTTTTCCGGTTTTACATATAATTTCTGTTTTGAAGGGTTTGACCAGTTTGTTTCGGATTTTTGCTCCTGCTGAGACAGTGCTGCGCCCAGACCATCGCGGGTGCATTTTTGAACGGGTCCTGGTAGCCTCGTGGTTTCGATCCGTGATTTCCAGTACAAGTGTGGGGCATTCGAATCCCATCACGCCTCCTGCCTTTTTTTCTCTTCTTTTCTGCATGTTTCGGATCTTGTTGGGTGAAATACGGTGAGTAGAGATGATAATTATATTTTCTCTTTTTGATTTGATTTGAGCCTCCCTGTTCCCTTCGCCTGACACAACGAGTGACAGTGGTTTCACTCACGCCAGTTGCAAGGTGAGTTCGACGACGAGGATTTCGGATACTCAAGCGTCAATCAAAATCCAGCTCTTGTTCGAAGAAACAATGAACACGACTAATCATATCTTTCTCGGCATCACTGAGATTCTTACGGGCCTTGGAAGCCATTACAGTCAGGCACTCAGAAAATGCAAGCAAGAAGAAGATTCATTTGGGACTTTCATTTCTTTTGAGACTTTCCTCACACCTTTTCATTTGCGACTTTGCGTGTTTTGCATCTTTTGTATTTCCCGCGGCGACGAAGAAAAACCTGAAAAACCCATCTGAAAACCAGAAAACACTCATGCAAAACTCACGGCTGTCGTGCGCTACAGTACGTACGGCTCGTACGTATGAGTTCACGCGTAGTTTTGAAATGGACTGTATGTGTGCATGCCATGTTGAACTTTTTCCAGCATTTTCCGGTAATTTTTATTCAATTTGTTTTGCAGACAACAGGTACGCGACTTACCCGTTATATTTTTCTATATTTCGGCCAACGATGGCCCTGATCTGTACATCAGGGAGTCGTACAAGCTCGGGTTTGTGTGACTCCACAGTGGCGTGCACCGAGTCTTGAAAGGGGGGTTCCTAGAGTTGGAAATTTTTTTCTGGAGACCCAGTGTATAATTCTGTATTTGTGCACATGCGCATCCCCCGAACATCCCGTCGGAGATAACGGCGAGGGCTAGGGAGGGGGGGGGGGGGGGGACTCAAGATCAGGGGTGCAGGGCACCAATGAACACTGGTGCTGATGAGATGCGGGGTTCGTCCGACTGCTATCATCAGATCATGCCGGCACAAAAGCGTCTGAGAGGGAACCAGGTACAGGGGTAGAAAGGACAGAAATAAGAGTAATGAGGAATGGAGGGAGAGGACGATGGAAATGTTGGTACATGTATGACCGGTAGCAGGATAAAACGGGTTACCTTTTACATACCAGCACTTCAAAAAGTATTTGCAAAGAGGGTACAAAAGTCAATGTACTGTACATGTTTGTCATATAATAATAATATATTGAACACGTAAATGTTTGATACTGATAGGCCTAGCCGCCCTGCAGGCTACACTACAGTCTATGGTACTTCACTACCGGTAGTCCACTCCACTCCAGGCATGTTTGTTCCATCAAAACACTGCTTACATTCGACGTAACTTTCTTTCTGTTCTTATGACGAAGTTCTCAGCATGTATTGGCAATGTTCCACATGATTTCAATAAAGAGTTATCGACCTTGCTTCGATGGAAGCTCGCGGAAGAAAAGCGAAGCCCCGCGTCCTGGAGTCGCGGCTGGAGCAGCGCTTCGTTCTGAAGCAGCGCAAGTGGATCATGGACACACATTTTTACGTCTTCCAGTCGACAATGTTTTTGACGAACATCTCTGCTGCGCACATGAGCGAGAACGAAAGGCTGTGGAGATCTTGATTTGAGTCAACAGTTTGGAAGGAGATATCGTCAATCATATCCTTGAACTGACTTGCATTGCGCGTGCTTGACTCAAATTTCGAGAGAAAACGGATTTCTTGCACGTCATCGCCAATCCAGGAGCGAACCAGAGCTCGAGATCGATCTCTCTGTGGCTACTCTCCACTGAAGAAAGAGAGAATAATGTATTTTGAACTGCATGCAAAGCAACTCTCTTTCACTTCGAAATAAGGACATAGTCACTGTAATGTAAACTGCCCGTCAGTCGACGAGTATGCAGGATAACCAATCCAGTAGGCACGCTTTTCCTTTGGCAAGATTGCCCGATAAAAGGTGGTTTCCAGACACCAAAAAACTCATACGGTGCACGCGCCTGCTCCACGTCACAGATCGACTCACATGATCAGTACTGTACATGTATGAACTGTTTAAAAAAAAATGGCTTTGGCTCGATTTTGGTGCGGGAGGGCCCGGGAATCTCTATTTTTTTTGGTCTCGCCTTACGGTTATTGTTTAGCAGTGCGGTATAACAAGGACTAAAGAGCTCCAAACAGCAGCCTCTTAGACAGTGGGCCTCGTAATACAAAACGAGCACCATGTAAAGGTCTGTTTTTCTACATTGTATAGCACTCACTGCCAGTGAATGAACTACGTCAACGCTATGGAATGACACGTAGTCAAAGGCAGTCTTACTGGTGCCAATGCAGAAACGGGTAGAGGACGAAATACAAGCTCACCTTTGCCGGCGTGAAATTCAAATTTGATGTCTTTCAAGTTGTTCTCAGCATTCCTATTGGCCAGTAGGGGGAGGAAAAGCACCAACACAACACTTTGCGAAAAGCTTTACTTGACATATCCCAGCCTAATACTAGTATCAGGATATTCGGCCAATGACTGCACCCTGCACTGAGAGTTGACTCCGTGCACCAAACCCTCTGGTAAACCCAACCAACAACATGTACAGGTACAAGGATCTTTGGTGTTCTTCCTTCTTTCCATGTCGTATTGAATAAAAACTAAGTTACCAGGCACGTACCTCATACGCAGTGCCAACTTGATTCCTGCACTGGCAGGCGCAGCTGCAGCAGCAGCAGCAGCAACAGGAGTAGGCGATGCTCTGGCAGCAGCAGTAGATGCAGCAACACCAGAGGTACTTGATGGAGAAGCAGCGGTCGCAGTAGATGCAGCAGTAGATGCAGCTGTAGATGCAGCTGCTGTCGGGGAGGCAGAAGTGGCTGGCGTCACAGTAGGGCTGTTTGTTGCAGCTGCGGTTGTATTGCGCACTGTGGCCGAAGGTGATGATGCTCCCGACGAGGCAGCAGCTGTACATGCTTGAGGAACAGCCACTGATGCTGCTGGGGTGGATTCATCAACTGAATCTGGCTTGCTGGCCATGCCAGCATTCTCAGCAGACAAACGGGCCGCTGATTCACTGGGTGCCACCTGAGTAGAGAGAAATAGAAGATAAAATAATATTATGAACGCATGTATGAAGATACTAAGAACACAAGTGATAGATAGCACTTCGCTGCATGCAGCAGCGCAAGGGTCATGCCGAAAACGACAACACAATTGTGTGTTAAAGCCAGGGAAAGGGAAATCGTAGCATGGGCCGAGTGCAACAAAGGTCACACGATGTAAGAACCTGAGTGCACTAGGGCCGGCCACACTTGACCCTGTACCAGCTGATGGTAGTGTAGACCTCACTGCCAATCGAATGGTGAGAAAAACTACAGCTTGACTACAGCTTTACTCCACAATCTAGTATAATGTACGTACAACGTGAGTTCGCACAACTCCATGGTGTTCATAGCAGTGCTAATTCCGGGTTCAAAATACGCACTTCAGGTTGGACTTCACCTTGCGGGGCCGTAAATGTATTACCATAGTGCTCAATAAAAGAGCTTACATGCACAATGGAACGCACACAGCTACACATACACGGCAGTGTACAGGTGGATACTTACAGCATCCTTGCCATCTGTATCACACTCTTCATCCGACCACTCCCAGTGACCGTCCTCTGTTCGCTTCAGTCGGCCACTTGCGCCAGGAACCCGGCGCACTGTCTTTGCACGGCTCTTGAACGACGGCGCTTGAGGTACTAGCTTCTCAGCAAGATAGTCAGCATTCTGCACACAAAACACAAGACGTGGCAAATTACATACAGTGCAATATGGGTTGGCGACAGAGGCAACATTTCTTGGCCCACAGATGAGGCGACGAGTCAGACATGTCCAACCTCAAGAAGGACAAAGCGAGAATGGAAAAGAAAGTTACGGATACCTTGAACAATGATGAAAACCTCTATGACTAAAGAAAAGAGGACGTCAAAAGCTGAATTACAAAATACCTTGGCCTTCTTGAAGAAACTATTCTTCAGAAGTGCCGCTGCAGTTGACCTGAACAGAAGGAAAAAGAGACAAGGGACAGTTGTTTCATCTCCAGTATCAGACTGATCACCTGGACAGATTCCAGACAAAGCTTGAACAAAAGGTAGGGAACATGGGTGTGCATGACAGACATGGCCAGTACACTTTGCCTGTAGCCACAAATAATATAAATCCAAGCGTATAACTCCCAAGAGTACGTAGCTGCCATGACTGGTTTTAGATTTACACCGCCTGTCCTGATGCAGCCAGCTCTATGCATGCAAGCTTGGCCTGTAGGCTGTACACTGTACTGTCTGCACAATGCGGCTTTATGTGCAGTCAAGTGGACTGCATCATGAAAATGACGTAATTCTGAAAAAGTTGTGACAAGAGGATTTTCGTGTGGATTGGCACACTTGGGGAGTTATGTACTCTTGACAAAGCGCAAAAAGAAAGAAAAGCAAATAGTAACTGGTCATTTCCATGCAGTACATGACACCAACCGTTGCTGTGGATCTTTCTTCAAGCAGCAGTCCACCATCTTCCGAAATTGCTTAGAATACTTGCTGAAATCCTGCTTGTGTTGTTCCTCACATGTCTCCAGGGTTGGCGGTGGCTCTTGCATGGTCAGCATCAGAATCTAGGCACGTAAAAGAATGCAGAGAACAACACTATGCACGTATAAGAGAGAATGAAGAGAACAACACTACTAGTATGCTGGTTTGATCTGCTTTGGCTTTGTCTGCACTTCTACAACCGTGCACATTTCAATGCTTCAAGCAACGGTGCAAAGGAACCACCCACTAAACAATACACAGCACAGCACTCACCTTCATGGGAGGAAACTTGGCGTACGGTGCTGTGCCTGTGGCTAGCTCCAGTGCCAGAATTCCAAAGCTCCACATGTCAGCCTTCGCATCATAGCCAACTGACTGCATACAAGACAGAACACAGCAGCAGCATACAGATAAGCATACAGATAAACAGGTGGTCTAGTGAGATTAGTGTGCGTTCAATGCACATTCAACAGCTACAGTGGGTTATGCAGTTATGTCACTGCTTGAGGTAGGCAGGCATAGTGGGATGGTATAAGATACTGAACGAAAAACAGAGGGCACCAGGTTCAAGCACGGCTTGGAAGAGTAAGGATTTTCCCGGCCTTGCTGCGACCTACAGCTAACTGGGAACTTGTGACCAAGCACGAGGGAAACACGGATGCAGAGGATGGGATTTTTGGTCTTTGTGGTGGGTCTGACCTACTCACCTCCCACCACTTCAGAAGCCGCATCTGCGCCTTGATCCTTGAGGGCGATGGCGTTCCTACGGATGCGGAAAACTCAGTCTGGCTGGATCCCATGAAACGTATCCTTTTTATCATAGCTATTTTGTATTCAGTGACATCACAAGCACTGAGTTGGCCACTCGATGCAAAGCATGTGCAATGATCTCATTACAAGAACTCTATGAAAGTAAGCTTGGACTTGAGCTTTTTAGGGAGGAAGGGAAGGGAGAGAGGGAGGGAGAGAGACAGAGATAGAAAGAGAGAGAGAGAGAGGGAGAAAGAGACTGAGACACTAACCTGATCCATGACTTCTGGTGCCATCCAGCAAGGTGTACCAACAAATGTGTTCCTCATCTTCTTTCGCCGATCACCAAAGTCAAACAACCAGGCACTTACGCCAAAGTCTGAGCAAGTTGTGTGCAAAATGAACACATAGAGGGAGAAAACGAGTCGCGAGTGAATAAATGAATAGCATAAACAGAGTATTAAACACTGAAGTTATCTTGCATACAGTTATGACTTCACAAGCATAGGAAAAAAGGTAGGCTGGTTTGTGAGCCGGAGCTAAAGGTATAGCCACACACCTACACTGTACCTGCAATCTGGATAGAGCCATCTTCACCCACTAGAATATTTCCGGCCTTCAAATCCCTACAAACAGAGCCATACACACACACACACACACACACACACACACACACACACACACACACACACACACACACACACACACACACACACACACACACACACACACACACACACACACACACACACACACAGGATAGTGAATAAAGAGAGGAGAGGCATGGCACACTTACCAGTTTCCTTAGTAAGTCTAGCCCAGTTTCCCTGAATATCTGGCAGACTGCCAGCAAGATTCGATTGTCGAGACTACGTAAGTGAGATAATGGGCCAGTGCGCGGTGCCTTCATTACGTAACTCGACTAACACGCCTTGTATGTGTGCACTCAAACCCACGACCTCTCGTACCAGCACACCCATTATTCTACTTTATTCCCGTTGCTATGCAGAAGACGTTACTTCAGTAACGTCTGGCGCTAGCCAGGGTCCACACAGCTTTAATTTGGTATTCGTTTGTTTGTTTGTGTCACGCCTGGCGCTATCCCATATCTGTCCCGTACCGTACCATCAAAGACAGCTGGCCATAAACAGCTGGCCACAATATTCAAATAGGGCTTTCAAACGCAAGATCATAAGGTGAAGCAACTTGGAAGAATGAGTATGAATGCGAAGTGTATCGGGGAATGCATGTAGGGCAATAGTGCGGGTTCGAATCCCAGATTATGCCTTGAAAAAAGAAGAGGAGAATTGAAAAATTTATAACATCCTATGCTTTTTTTGCCTGGTCAAGGCGGTAGACGGTGTCGTATTACCCTCGACCGTACCTGTCCTGTACCATATCGTACCATCAAAGACGGCTGGCCACAATATTCAAATAGGGCTTTCAAATGCAAGATCATAACGTGAAGCAACTTAGAAGTATTAGTATGTATGCGAAGTGTATCGGGGGATGCATGCAGGGCGATAGTGCGGGTTCGTTCCCAGGTTATGTCTTGAAAAAAATAGGAGAAATTTATAAGAAAATTTATAACATCCCTATGCTTTTTTTTGTCTAGGTCATCAAGGCAAAAAAGCATAGCGTAGGGCCCTGAGCTTCCAAGCTCTCTCGTTCGTCCTGGTGCGGCTTCTAAAATTTTACCCATGAAAAATAACACAGGGACGGTTTAGTAATGCCAAGAGTACATACCCCCCCCTCCCCCAGAGTGTGCAACTCCTGCATACCCTGTTGTCCCGACAGAATTTCAAGTCAACGTCATTCTTATGATGCAATGCTCCTTGCACCAGTGATTTACGACATTCGTACGGGGTGTCAACACATCACACGTTTTCTTTGAACTAGTTCGTACAGGATCAAGCATGGCTTTGTCCCCCGCAGGTTCAGGGATACGTCTGATAATACGTGTGGCGCACTGCATCATAAAAAATGACGCCAACTTGAAATTCTGTCGGGACGGCACCCATAGTAGAGTTGCACACTCTGGGGGGGGGGGTATGTACAAAAAGTCTCCACTAGCAGCCCTTGTTTACCTGTGCATTTGACCTTGAGAGTGGAAGTACTCCAGGCCCTTCAGGACCTCGCTGAGAATCGACGCAACAATGGTCTCGTCAAATATGCCATTGACACGGCCAAGACTCCTCTGGTGTTTGAGGATGTCAAGAGCAGACCCTGCATGGAAAAAAGAAAGAAAAAAGAAGTCACTTTTTGAAATCATGGGTTCTCATCATCTATTGAGCACATGTAGAAGACTTGAACACAGAAGGAAAGAATTATTCCCTACAAGTGTCCCGATGGCTTTGTTTGCGGGAAATCAGTGGCAGAAGAAAGCCTTCTGTTGCAAGATGGATTCAAGCTACCGGCACTAAAAAACCCACAGGGTATGAAGATCAGCCATGCGTGCACACCATTGTCGTTGCTACACTTACCACAGCTCAGCAGTTTCATCACCAGCCACAGTTCTTCGCGCACCACAAACGACGTGTAGTAATTGACAACATTCGGGTGCCGACAATGGTACATGGCCTGGATCTCTTTCTACATGTACATACGTTCAACAAAGAGATGTAGAGGAACAAGAGACAAAGACAATGATCAACATGAACAGTCAATCTGATGATAAGATACAATCAATGCTGAAATGTTATCTGGATGCTACGGGGTAGGGGTTCCCAAATGATACCATGTATGCAAGTAGTTTTTGGTGTTACACATGCCTATGCCGAGGCTATGGCACAAATCACCAACAAGAAGTTCACCGATCTACAATGTGCCATGAGATTCATTAACCCGACTGCTGCATGGACGGTAGAGCCTGCGAACTATGATTATTAGGCCTAATGATCATGAACTATGATCATTAGGCCTAATGTAATGATCATGCACCCTGGGTGGCTACCCTGGTTAGCACGGCTGGTTGAGAGTCAGCACACATTGGCGGAACTCATCATATATTGAGTTTGGCCGTCAGGAGGCCAACACAAGGTATCCGGGGCATGGGTCTGATTCTAGTGAGGGGCAATGTGGTGCCCCACAGCACAAAGGGTAGCATGATACCCAACACAAATGTACACGCTGTATTGCATGAGTAGCGTGATACTTGCCAAGCGGTTTTTCCGTTGCTTAGCGACGCATTTATTCCAGCTTTCCTGGGCTCCAAAACTGCAAGTTGGATAGCCCTGCACATGGCTGCACATTGCCATAGCAACCTTGGAAAGCTCAAGCCGGCTTCCAACAAGCTAGGAATGAGACCAAACCCCGAATGCCCCCAAAATCTGTGTCGGTGAGTAGCCTTATTGAGGTAAGTGTGTGTGTTTGTGTATGAGTGCGCGCAAGCGTGTGTGTATGTGCGTGCGTGCGCGCTGCGAGGCCTAGCCACTGGTAGGACTGTCCGACCAATATCGGGGCAGGAGGAAGTTGCGGAAGTCGGGTATTGTCATTGACCCCAGCGACTACTGGCTCGCCGCCTCTCCACGATTCCTCCATGCAGTACGCATGCCATGGTGGAGGTGAAGTGTCCCTTCCAAGCCCATAATTACAAGACAGATAGATGAATGCATGGAAAGCTACACAAAGGCAGAACAACAGAGACCAAACACCCTTTCCGTAACTCTGAGTTTCGTGTCCGTTTGATGAGTGCTTTTAACTCGCAAACTTGTTCGAAGAAGAGGTTGGTGTGACTTCGGCAATACTGACTCAAGTGAAAATTCAAGTCGGCAGGAATAGCGCGAGCTCCCATGTAGGGAGCGACACACAATTCCCAAACGTGTTCGAATCTTTTTTTTTATTATTATCGCTTCCTTCACTACAGAACTAAATATTGCGACAGAGCTTTCGGCCATATTTTCACTGTTTCCTCTTTCACCTTCTTTTATATTTTTATTGTTGCACATTGTTTCCATAATAGCTATGAAAAGTACGAATGCCGCAGACATCACCACACAACATGACAATTTGTTCAAGGTTTAAGATTGTGTGTTCTGTATTTCCACTGATGATCGGAGCTTGAAAATCGATTCTGGAAACACACAATCTTAAACCTTGAACAAATTGTCATGTTGCGTGGTGATGTCTGCGGCATTCATACTTTTCATAGCTATTATTAAACTTTTATCTCCACGTAGATTATTGTTTCCATAGGTTAACATTTACTTAACAACTTAACACCTTATGAATAAATAATCTCTTGTAATTTATACAAAAGAGAAAGACCAAGGAACTACAAGTTACGCTATACTGTCCACTAACACCACCAGTTACTAAACAATCAGCTCGTGCGATAACATTGCACGACACTGACCGACGGTACTGACGTTCTACAACTAACTGAGCTGATTGTTTAGTAACTGGTAGTGTTGGTGGACAGTATAGCGTAACTTGTAGTTCCTTGGTCGTTCTCTTTTGTATAAATTAAACATTGGCTCTCCATCTGAGTCCAATCTCGTGTAAGTTGGTCCTTTTGACTGTAATTTTAAACTGATTGTCTCCTCGCCGTTTGCTTAAATACATGTACATTAGCAGCTACAATGTAGTGCATTGTGACTGAAAAAACCCTTCAAATGTACATGTCATAATTATTGTTCTGTAATGTAGCTATTGTACGTATACAATGTACTTGCACGTCCATGCCGAAATCAAGCTCACAGCTTTACAAGCATTATTTAGCGCTCCGCTAATGCAGATCGTGACAAAAGATATTTCAGAAGAAGTGAGGGGATCATTGAACCACAAGTCACACCTGAATTTCATCGATTCCAGCAGAACAATTTTCCAGATTTATCCTCTTGATGGCGACTCTCTGGTTGAGGGGCTTGCACATGGCCGTCTGGACGACTGCCGTAGCACCCTCACCTTCAGATCAACAGACATTGTGGCACACAGCAAATTGTGCGTCACACAAACCATACAATTTCTCTACGTACACAGTTTTACACCACTTACCAATAACATCTTCCAATTCGTATGCATCCTTCAAGCCAGGCCAAGCTATCATCCCTGCAGCCACAGGTGCCGCCATACCCAAACTCGTTTACAATGCAATCAACTAGAAGACAGCGACCAAACGGCGCAAAGCGACAAGCTCTCAAGGTCAAGATCAAAGGAAAAAACTAATGAAAGAGGAAAGCATTTTTTGCTTTTGTGAGGATTTTGAATGCAGAAAGATCAAAGATGCATGATCGATTGTTGACATGTCACTATTCAGAGCCAGAGCCAGGGATCGATCCGGGACGACGTAGATCTACATAATTATTGTACGAGTACGACCAAGAGTACATAACCCCCCGGGGGGTTATCTACTCTTGGTACGACGTGTCAACTCCCGGAATCCCTGTATGTCCATTACATGTCTCGTACAGAAGTGTAGCTAGCCTGGCTAGGCTCCTGAATCATGTGAATTGCTGGATATCCCGGATGACGACTTCTGTCACGTTTTGTACACGTGTAGATGTAGGTCTAGTCTGCTGCATGCATCGATATCGGAGCTACAAAATGTACCCTTGTAAGTTGTAGGAGCTACACGTACAGTGTACACGTAGGAGCTGGGGAGTCGTGACTCGTGAGTGGAATCATTATGACTTTCCGCCCCTCATGGGTTCGAGGCCCCTTGCCCTTGACCAGGGAAGGGGTAGGACCAGGGAGTCGTACCCAATTCCGCGGGAGCTCCGGAGGTGGGTTGACTGGATCCGAATCCGTGCTCTCGGGATCCGGATTCGTACAATCAAACATGTACGAATTATTTGGCGAATCCGGGTCTGGGGCCGCGTACAATCGAACATACCCTTATATTACAAGTACAGTTTCAAGAGTAGATCTACTCTTGGTAGTTTGGGTACGACTCCCTGGGCCATGCATGGGTAGGACCAAGAGTACATAACGTTAGTTGGTTATGTACTCTTGGTAGGACTAAATTCAGGGAGTCGTCAAATATTTGAAATATTTCTGACTGAAAACACTATTTCCGAAGAGAAATGACGCTTTAGTAGGAGTTTGCCCAAATAATTCCCCATAATCTTTCATTTTCCTGCTCACCAAATAATTGCAAAGGTGTGACTTGACATTGAAGCTGCAAAACAGAGATTCTTCGGGCAGACTTGTTATGCATCATGTTAGCCACCAAGTTTCTTTGCAGATACCATTGCACTTCCACTGATATTATGATTCTTCCAGTTCCAGTACATTAGTGGTATTTTGCCCGTACTATACAAATGGCTCTAAAACATTTAAAAAAAAGGGACTATGTAGCTGTCTGCATCATAACGCCAGTGCAGCCGTCGCAAAAAAATAATTAATTCCCCATTAATTCCCCATAATCTTTCATTTTCCTGCTCACCAAATAATTGCAAAGGTGTGACTTGACATTGAAGCTGCAAAACAGAGATTCTTCGGGCAGACTTGTTATGTATCATGTTAGCCACCAAGTTTCTTTGCAGATACCATTGCACTTCCACTGATATTATGATTCTTCCAGTTCCAGTACATTAGTGGTATTTTGCCCGTACTATACAAATGGCTCTAAAACATTTAAAAAAAAAGGGACTATGTAGCTGTCTGCATCATAACGCCAGTGCAGCCGTCGCAAAGTGCCCCCCCCCCCCCCCCCAGTAACTGTTACTGCAACCGTAAGATGCTAAACTCAGGATATCACCATTTATACCCAGCTCATATTAACCCCCACTAATTCATGTCACGGGTGAATATATCTCCATATTATTTATTATTATTATGCTCTATTCGCGTTAGCATCAGTGAGCTTATAAAGCTCACATATAGCCTTCGCTTAAGCCGCAAGAAGGAGCAAGTGAGCGCGAGGAAGCGCAATGCACACAGAGCGTCAAAACAAAACAAAAAACAAAAAAACAGAAAAAAGAGACAAGCTGCAAGAAGGAGCAAGTGAATGCGAGGAAGCACAGTGCACATCAAGCATCACAATCACAAAAAAGACAAGATGGAAACGCAAAGTTATGTCCATTGTTGCATTAGCGGCTACATACAACCTTCACCAGGTCCTGTCACTGAGGGCGATCCTGGGCGAGCTGCTGCAGCCCGGCTGTTGCAGTCATCTCCATTATCTATATATAAAGGTATAAATTATGTCCATTGTTTCATTAGCAGCTACATACAGCCTTCACCAGTTCCCGCCACTGTCGACGGTCTTGGGCAAGCTGCTGCAGCATGTTCAAGTCATCGCCAGTCTCTAGGGCGGTTTTATTTTTCAGCTTTTTGAGATCATTATTGAGCGTTCGCGGGAGCGTTGTTCTTGGGCGTCCCCTAAAGCTGGGGCCGTTACCCCCTAAGAAGTAAGCTCCCATGGCACGTCTGGCTGGGGCTGCCTCTTCCAAAAGCAGCACATGACCAAACAGCCTCCATCTAGCATCTCTGATGATTTGGCTCACGGGGCGAGATTCTGTGCGTTTATACAGGGAAGTGTTCTTTATTATGAGCGGGTATTTAATGCCTATCACTGTTCGCAGCTGCTGCCTGTGGAACGAGTCCAATTTCCGCTCCTGTGTCCCCGTGAGACTCCACGTGCCACAGTTATAAAGCAGGATTGGTAGAATGAAGCTATTATAGAGGCGCACTCGTAGAGACTCTCTGATGTGTTGCCCTCTCAGCCATATCACCCACATCCGGTGAAGTGCGCTTGTAGCCAACCGCTTTCGTCTGCCTATGTCCTCATCCACTCCAAGCATCGAGCCCAGCTTTATTGTGTGTCGCCACTGTTCCTCTATTCGATCCTTTTGTCTGCTTATCATGGTGTGTTCCGTCTTCCCCTCATTCATCTTCAAGTTCCACTCTGCTAACGAAGATGATATTGTAGGAAGGCAATCTTTTAGATACTTTTGGTCGGTACTGATGAAGTCCACATCATCTGCATATTCCGACTCTCCGGGCAGAAGCAGCTGGACGTCTCGGTCTGGTCGCGGCGGTAGACGGTTTCGTACCTCTCTTAACGCAGCTTCCAGGTATATCGTAAACAATACCGGCGACAGAGAATCTCCCTGTGGAGTCCCATTGTATGTTTCAAGTGGCTGGCTCAGGATGTTGTTTAGCCGTACTTTAATGGTGGTATCCGTAAGTAAGCACTGAATAAGATGTAATTCGTCCCGGTTCACAATAGTCTCCAGCACGTTCATGAGCTTTGGTCTTGAAATAGTGTCAAAGGCTGTCGACATATCAATTCCCAAAATGGCGATATCTTCCTTTACTCTTTGGCATCTTGCTGCCAACCATCTGTAGGAGTACACAGCATCCGCTGTACTTCTCCCGCTGCGAAATCCGCTCTGGCAGGGCGAGAGGTATTGATCAACTGCCGGCTTAATACGCGTCAATACGATTAGAGACAGTAGCTTGCGTAGTGTATTTAGAAGGGTAACTGGCCGCAAATTTGCAGGAGGACCTCTCTTCTTGCCCGGTTTCGGCAACGGGACCAATATACCATCACCAAGCTGGATGCGTTGATCTTTAGCGTAGTTATTGAATAATGTGGCTATGCAGTGATTGCGTCCCATACTTCAGGAGCTCAGCCGGGATTCCATCGGGGCCGGATGCTCTGCCGTTATTTAAACGTTTTGCAGCCTTGGACACCTCCTCAGTCGTTATGGATCGGTTCAGTGGCATTTCACTCCTCTCCAACATAGTTGTTGCTAGTGCCTGGTCGCAGAATATAGTTCTGAAGTGTTCCTTGACCGCTTCCACCGATTCCGCAGGTTGAGATATAATTTTGCCTTCAGCATCCTCAACGATAACCGGTGATTGTTTCTGACGACGGAGTAGCTGGGTTGCTTTGAACATCTTTGCGTCATTCTTTATTCTTCCTATTTCTCCCACTCGTTCATCAAGCCTGCTCGATGCCATCTTGAGGCATTCCCGCCGAATCTGGTGTGAAATGCGATTGCGTTCTTGCTTCATCTCAGAAATCATATTCACCACTTTAACTTGGGGTATATACTTTGCTATATAGTCCTTATGCACATTGTACAGATGTACGAAGTTCTGTACTATGGCCGTAGGTGTGTACATACCCGGTTGGGTGTTCATTGTGTGCTATACATGCGCGCTTGACCCATTTAGCCTCACAATTCATGGCAAACGATCACTTTTCAAGCCTTCTTCACTTTGGGATTGAACTAACGACTAGCTAGATCTCTGACGGAAAAAGATTTCGTATGAAATGCCTTCATGGCCCATTTCATAGTGGAAATAGCAGTAAATACAATAGGGTCCTGCACATTCAACACCCAACCGGGTCTACGGGACTCTACAAGATTATACGGGATTTCGTGCATCTGTACAATGTGCATAAGGCCTATGGGGCTGTTAAGTGATGACGTCACAGTTCCTTCGATACGCATAGCAACGATCCCACTGGGGACAAACAAAAGTAGCGTCGTCTCCACCGAACCAGTTGTCAGTGGCAACATATAGGAATCGTGTACATTTCTTCGTTCTTCTTTGCAGTTTTCAGTGAGTGTTTTGTTTTCTCTTTGTCCTTGATCTCGACGGTGTTGTCGTGCTCATTACCTTACTGAGACGTCTCTTGTGACTGTAGCCAGTGTCACGGAGGATTTTATTGGCGTGACGAGGTAGATCGCCGAGATCGAGCGTGAAAAACGCTCTGCATTAGTAGCTCCTGTAGAATGTCTTTTGGGATGGCGTATCCATGGTCAACAAAGCCAAGGTGCAAGACAGCATAAGAGATCGTGTAAACGATGTGAACTCCAAAAGGTAAGCTCCTGAACAAGTCGAAAGATATGTGTATTTACAAATTCTCTCTTCATCCATCGATTGCCGCTATGCATTGCATTTTGTCTTCACAGATAATCTGGACAAATAAATTATATTGTACACTAACTGGAGAGTGCAATCGTGCTTGGGACCCATCCCAATGTCATCACATGGCTGTGGTGACTAGTGTATACCTGTACCTGGGAGAGTTTTTCCTCAACTGAGACGGAGTGTAGGTGGACGGATTATGAGAAATGCGAAGATGTGGAGTAAGTTGTGTCGAAGAAATGTGTAAAATTTAAAATAAAATTTACTTTACACTCAAACATCCACTGTACATGTAACATCACGATAATGATTCCATCTTCATATCTCCGCAACAGGTACGCCATACGCACCGAATACATGGTGTGTGTGCACGCGCGCGCGC